TGGGTTCCAATCCTTCAAAAAGCACGAAAAATGTTAAAATTGGCGAGGCTAGTGAATTCTACTGGGCATGCAGAACTGGTGATTATCAAAAAGCGAAAATGATTATATCTAACTTAACTTACGACCAGCTAAATCAAATCGAACCAAATGGTAGCACAGCGCTACATGCAGCAACGTATTACAATCATTTGAAAATTGTAGAGTTATTACTACAACATGGATGTGCACGAACAACATTGAATCGATTCGGATATACTGCCTTTGAAGAGGCCCAAACCGATCAAATGCGTTCAATCTTCTACCGACCTAGTTCTCAGCGTTTCATGGATGAAAATCCATCTCAGTCCTTTGAACTATCTTCGAACTCGGACGAGCATGATGAAATGGAAGATGATACTACTAATGATTGGGTCAAATGCCATCTGAACAAGAAAGATGCGCATGAAGCTAACTTCATGGACTCCATAGCTCGCGCACCCGTAATAATGAGAAAAATTCTGCAGATCAGATTGGAGCAGGAAAGTAAAGAATTACTCAAAAGCTTTCTGGATGATAATGTTAAGAAAACTGATCCACAGTATCCTCACGTCATCGAGCTTTTTGAAGAATTCAAAAAGAACAAAAAAATCATGCCGTTGCTCACATTGTACACAGCAGAAACACCAGTCGTTGGAGCATTACAAAATGACTGCGACTCGTTTGCAGCTTTGCTTTACCTACATTTACCTGAATTAGAAGACCGCGCTTATAAAGGTCTCGCTTATCGTGGTGCTCGAATGACAAACGATGAACTCAGAGCATATCAATGGGCACTCAAGCAACGAGGGCGTGTGCTTGAAACACGTACCTTTCAATCGATGTCCAAAAATGAAAAAGTTGCCCTACGGTTTGCCAACAACAAGAAATATGAGAAACCCATCTCCGTACTATTGAGCTTCTATTTTCCTGAAGTTTGTCGAACAGCAATTGATCTGACCAAAATATCTGACCGATTACTTAATTTGTCAGAGTTTCCAGAAGAAGAAGAAGTTACTCTTCTGCCATTCACATTATTTCAAGTTTCGGCCATTAATGTCGACGCCACGCGAAAGAATCAGTATCGAATTACGTTGACAAATGTTCCAGTCAAGAATAACTCTATCTAAGCAGCTTGGTTCCAATATCATTAACACCGTGGACAAGAAAGCTGTCTGCACAGGATTTCAGAATAACAAAGAGGTTGCGATTCATTATATATTTATAGTTTTTAAAACATTCTATCGTAAAGCAAAGTTCCTAATCAATACTAAGGTATACAATAAGAAACTTGAAGTCAACTATCTGCCGGCACAAACCAGGACAGGCAGGCAACATAGATTTTTCTCAGTTGATTGGAAAAAAATCCCGAAATCTAAAAATTTATATAATAAAATGTTTAAAAAAACATAGAACCATGGTTTTATCGTGAAAAAGTATAAAGGAAAACTGTTGAGCGAAAAGTGCCAAAGAACTCATTATGAAGCAAGAAAAACGTTGAAAAAGAAAAAAGGCAAGGGTGCTGTCCTGGATTAGTATGGATGTGAATGCGTATGTGGATGGGTGTGTGGATGGTCGCAGAATGAGTGTAAGTGGGCGTGCAATGTAGCTGGATGTGAATGTGGTTGTTGGTGATATGGGTGTGGGTGTGAAATGTGTCTGAGTATAGGTGTCGGTTGTACGAAAGTAGGTTGGTGTAGGGTATTGATGAAGGTGCAGCCCTCTCTTTGCGTTCCCAGATCGAGCTTTACGGCGACCAAAAACGACCGTATACGGTGGAAATACGGTCGTACACGGCCATGCCTTTACCGTTTTGGTATGGACCGTAATACGGCCGTTAATCTGGTGTGGGTGTGAGTGGGTGTTGGTGTGGTATGTGGGTGTGGTGTGGGTGGGTGTGGGTGTGGGTGTGGGTGTGGGGTGTGTGAGTGGGTGTGTGGGTGTTGGTGTGAGTGGGTGTTGGTAGGGGTGCAACAAATCCTGTTTTTCTGCAAAAAGATTGTAAATTTTCGGTATGAAAACCCCCCAAATCCACCCAAATCTTTTTGGCAGTAATATGCAGTTTCATTCGCTCTATCTGATGGTATTATTTGTTTACCGAATCCCGTAAGAGATTTGGTAAAGATTTGGTGAGATTTGGTGAATTTATGCACATTTTTCGACAAATCTCACCAAATCTTTACCAAATCTCTTACGGAATTTGGTAAACAAATAATACCATTAGATAGAGCGAATAAAACTGCATATATCTGACTCAAAGATTTGGTGAGATTTGGGTGGATCTGGGGAGTTTTCATATCAAAAACTTACAACCAGTTTTGCAGAAAAACAGGATTTGTTGCACCCCTAGGTGTTGGTGTGGGATGTGGGTGTGGGTGGGTGCGGGTGGGTGTGGGGTGTGTGAGTGGGGTGGGTATGTGGGTGTGGGTGTGTGAGGGTGAGTGTGGGTATGTGGATGTAGTTAACCAATTGATCGACATTCACACCCATACTCATACCCACACCCATCCAGACCCACAACCATATCCGTGCCCACACCCACCCACTCACACCCACATCCACCCATACCCACACCCACATCCACACTCACCCACACCCACATCCACATCCACACGCTGCAAAAACTATTCAACAAACGTCTCATTTTCGATAAAAACACTTTTGCCATTGGCATTGCTTGCCAAATTAATAGGACACAAAATGAATCATATAGGCAACAAACGGGTTTAGACAACAGTTATTGTAACTCACTCACTGTCAAAATCTATTGTCTTAAATGTCTCAATAAAAAAATGAACACAAATTTGTCATATGAAAAAGAAGCAAAATGCCGAACAGATGACAATGCTGTAGATGAATACAAGCACTTGCACTCAGAGTCATAAACTCATGTCTCCACTCAAATGTAAACTAACATCAAGACCCATATCCAATAAGAAGGCAATATCTTGAAATGCTAATCATTCGATACTAATTGTATGAATACATGCCGTAGAAACTTAATCAATATTCATTGGATCAGGGTGTGGGTGTGGCTATAATCTCTGTCCACACCCCACCCTTTATGCACATTGTATAAATCATGTACGATCGAGTATTCGATTTCAATGAATTGTTTTTACCTTTTTCTGCCTTTAGGAAATAAATTTGATGCATTTGAAAAGAGGTTTTTCTTATAAAGAATCGATAGAATATGTTTGCTAGTTTCGACATTTTATCCAGATTTTCTCTTTCGAACGGTTGCCGCTTTCTCAGTTTCCATATTAGATGGAACACTGGTTACATAAGTTAGTAGGCAAGGAGGGTTAGAGATATGTGGAGCGAAGTTTTTTTTTTTAATCTCGATCCGGACTTTCAGAGAGAACATATCCAAATATTAATTGCCGGTCGCAGTGATATTTTCCTCATAAGTAAGACTAGAAAAGTCTGCCAGGATTTCTCTCCTTACATCTTTCTATTAGAGTTATCACCGTTTTATCGAATTTTCGACTTATCGGAAAGTTTCAGCCAAAGCAGATAGTTCCTTCTCGACATGTTGAATACGGAAGAAAAGTTAGCATTCTGCCTTTCTTGTGGCATATGATTGTTTTTTTTTGAATATTCTATATTCCGAACAACAATCATCAGTTTTGACTGAAACTTACAGGATATACTCAAGATCAAGAGATCTATTTCTGTACAAAAATTCGGATGAAAATTCCTTCCTTTTTTTTTTAATTTCTCCATGAATACCTTGTCATAGGTTTCTTCGCGTTACATGTAAGAAAAGTCAGTTTTTAATGTTCGTGATTTGATTAATTTAGCCGACGAATATAACTTTATTTCCTGGTCATGTATTCTGCATTTATCTTTGCTTGCTGTGATTTATAACATAATTCGCTAAAAATCATAGAAAAAATAACTACAATTTTCAGTTCGGATTCGAAGAAATATTTTTCTAATGATTATGGTGATGAAGAATAAAGCTTATTTCGTATATTTATAACGAGGGAAGTCTCACAACTGGTTAATTATTTTTTGAGTTGGGGCTACGTACATAATGTAGACTCCATAGCTTATAGCCGCGTAGATACTATACTTTTAAGGTAATTTTTCAATGAATATCGTGGTACATCATGAAAACTGATTTTCGAAGTTCGGCTTGAATGTTTGCGTTGTGATAGGCTTTAATGAGAGTAGTTTATTATGAAAGTTTCAGGTCTTTTGACTTGCTTTTATTGTGAAATTAGAAGATTCAAATCTGCCGGTGTATACGAGTGATGTAAAAGACACGCTTTTATTATAGTCATATCTTAGGATAGGAACAACGAAAAGATATGAAAGTCTCATTATAAGCTATTTTCATTAAGGCCTCTTTTTTGTGCAAAGTTTGAAATTGAAATTCGAAAATGAGTAAAGGGCCTGAACTCTTTTCAAAATATTCATAACTCATTAGAATCTACATGATACACGTAGTTCCGAGTCAAAAAACAGTTAATCAATGGGGGTAATTCTCTAGTTAGTGTGTTTCGAAAAAAATGAATTTTCAAAATGAGACACATTTTCACTGACAACATAAGAAGAATTTCTTTCATCAGATATGCAAAAACGATAGTAAAATCGTGTTTTTCTGCTTGTTAATTGAAAAAATTTACATTGGATGATTGTTGTTCAATTACAACGACGATAAAACTAGTGCCATGCTTTAAATTAATTGACAAGGCAAATAGACGACATCTCGTCATTTTTAAGGTTCTTCTTTCTTTACTGTTGGCATTTAATATTTCAGACATGAAAAGGTAAATAAACAAAACATGCACCTTGCCGTTTGCTTATTAAGTTCAACTAAACTTTATTATATACTTGATATTGGTTCGTTTAAATTGAGTTCTATGATATGTTATGAATGTTTTTAATTATGAACATTGATATTTTTTATAAATGTTATATATTTTCACTATCTTTTCTAGTTGATATTGAACGATATATTTATAAAGTTTTATCAAATGTCGCAGACGAACAACCGGGATGGCAGCAACAAGCGGTCGCGGATATTATCTTCAGACGTCTATCGTCAACGTGAGAACCAGTCGTCGACAAATGTCGCTCAAACACAATCAGGTTTAATTATTGATAATGAAACTGCATTATCATCTGAAATAATTAAAGAACAATTGAATAGTGTTGATGATATTATAACACAAGCAATTATTGAAGTACCAACGAAACATTTATTATATGTAAAAGAACTTGGTGACAATTTATTTGTATCATTATCAACAAAAATTATTTGATCGTGTTTTATTTACAAAATTATTAAATAATGATGTTAATACAGCACCATCAGATTTACGTGTACTTGCACGTTCAGATGATAATGATGCACATTCAACATGTACATCATTAGTACAACCAATGCCAGCAATTTTATGTAACATATAGATTCATTTTGAAAAGTTTATCATCCAATAATAGGTCGTTTGAAAGATCGACACGACCTATTCAGTGTTACGTTTGGTTCAATTGATGATGAAACTATTCGAGTCTATATTGAAACAGGTGAACCAATGAATAAAGCAGGAACTTATAGTATTCAATCTTTGGGTGCAGTATTAGTCAAGAAAATAGATGATGATTATTTTAACGTAGTTGGTTTTTCCATTGATTATTTTTGTATACAATCAAAGGCATTGCTTAATAATGAAATCAAATTTAAAAAAATGATCATTTGCTAAAAGATGAGAAAAAAGCAAGCAAAGAAGTCAAATGATATTGCTTAAAATCATTGATAATTGTAACATGTTATCAAATCTCATGTTGATTAATAGAGTTCTATCACATTTGATTAGTACTCTGTAGTGTGTCAGTCGGTTTCGCAGTTTTCAGATCTTTGGACCGAATCGAAGAAAAAAGTGGAACATATTTATTTTTCTCAATAAGAAATAGGTTATTTTTTCGTGTCTACAATTAATAAGACACGGAATTGTTTATCAAGAAAACCTTGACAGCATGAAATGCGAGTATGAATATTCAATTTGTCTATGATTTCTATGCATTTTCCTAAATATTTTAGGTCATATACAAAAAAACCTAGCTCAAGCAATGAATTTGTTATTTGAAACTACACATAATTTCACATTTATGACTTTTCTCTCTAGTTTTTAGATCATGAAAAGAAAAAAAAAGAATTTCCACATTTAACAAGACAGTCAACTCATTCATAGCACATCATAGACGCGTCCGATTACTTAATCATTTTTTTCAATCATATATAAACACCTGTCATCGATGACAAATGTTAGTTTCTTTTTTTCTTTCTTTCAATCATCGATTGAATGAATTATTTCAATCGATGAGATTTTCTTCTTGTTTCCTGTATTAATACAATGAACTATTGTTATATTAGAACAGAAAGAATAATTTATTCTATTCAAAAGAAAGTTTATCTTTTCTCTTTATTTTTCTTGAACTTGTCGGATAGTTCTCTTTTATCCGATGGAAAAACACTTTTTGTTATTGATACACAAAAACATACCGTAAGATGGATGTGAGGATGAGAGTGGAGAGGGAGATATGTATGATCACATCCTCACAGTCAAAATATTAATGTTATGCAGCCAAAATAAAATTTTATTTTTATTTTTAAATAAGTTAAACAAACTTTTTATTTACATTGTTTTTATTTATTTGTTTTTTTTTGTAACATTAATAATTGAATTTAATGGTTCTTTAATTGAAATATTAATATTAAATCGTCCGACAAAATCCAACCCTTCACTTCCACGTAGTGTCGGATGGGCAATGACTTATGTCATTGGCGAAGATGGGCTCTGGTATTCAGGAAAGCAACGGGAAACTACCTGAATCATTTCCTCCCATGAAAATCAATGTATTATACCGTATGGCAAGTAGAATCAAACAAAATGGCCCTGAGTCACGGCGTCTCTTAAATGGGACAGGGGTGCTAAGAATCTCCGTACTTGCTAAATGGAATAACTTTAAAATTGCAACCTGGAATGTTAGAAGCCTATTATCAGCTGGCAAATTAGCAAACGTAATCAAAGAAATGGACCGACTGAACATCAAAATACTTGGCATCAGTGAAACGAAATGGCCAGGCATAAAGTAATTCGTCTCAGAAGATCATCTGGTACTTTGTTCCGGTGGTGAAGACAACAAGCCCCAAACCTACGGCACAGCATTCATCATCCATAAAGACCTGGCAAAATATAGTATCCATTTTACACCATTTTCTGAAAGACTAGCAATGATACAACTAGCTGGACAACATATCAATTTAAATGTCATACAAGCATATGCACCAACTGCAGAGAAAAGCGACGATGAAATTGAAGCATTTTACCATCAACTGAAACAGCTATTTGATACTCAAAGGAAACATGATCTTAATCTCATCATAGGAGATTTTAACGCTAAAGTTGGACAAGGAAAAATCAACAACATTGTAGGTGATTATGGTCTCGGCACCAGAAATGAACGAGGAGAAAGACTAATACAATTCTGCATTGAAGAAAATCTTACAATAACCAATACATGGTTTAAACAACCAATCAGAAGACTTTATACATGGAAATCCCCAAAAGACTCAATGAACAACATCATCAGAAATCAAATCGACTACATACTTATTAACAATCGATTTACAAGCAGCATTCAAGATGTTAAAACTTATCCTGGAGCTGACATCTCGTCCGACCACAACCCAGTAGTAGCTACATTACGCCTAAAACTACGAACAATAAAAAGAAAACCAACAAAAAAAATAGATATTGAAAAAATCCAGAACAAAGACATACAGAAAAAGATCAAAACAAGTCTAAATGAAGAATTAAACACGCTGCCAACTACAATCAACACGGTAGAAGAGTCATGGCAACTAATTAAGAGGAAAATTACAAAAGTAGAGAAAAATATTTTAGGTCTTACTACAAAGAAAAAGAAGCAGAAATGGATGACAGAAGAAATATTACAACTAATGGAAGAACGACGAAAATACAAGAACAAAAATCAACAAAAATATAAAGAATTACAATCAAAAATCAAACTAGAAATAAAAATAGCAAAAGAACAATGAATGACCAACAGATGTGCAGAAATAGAAGAATTACTAAAGAAACACGATAATTTTAATCTTCAGAAAAAATTAAAGGAAACTGGAAATATTTATAATAAATCAGCTATATCGACATTGTACAACAACCAAGGCAAACCGATTCTTATAGCTGAAGAAAAACAAAAAATTTGGTACAACTACATTAAAAATATGTTCGATGATTCAAGATCAGAACCAAAAATCACAGTGACCGATATAAGTCCATCAATATTAAATTTTGAAGTCAAACATAATATTAAACAATCCAAAACACGAAAATCTTGTGGTCCAGACGAAATTCATGCTGAAATGCTCAAACAGTTAGACGACAGCAACATCACAAAAATTACAAATCTCTTTAATCATATTTACACCAGTGGAAACATACCAACAGACTGGCTAAAATCAATATTTGTTCCGATACCAAAGAAAACACATAGTCGGAAATGTGAAGATTACCGCCTTATTAGTTTAATGAGTCACGTATTAAAAATATTTTTGCGTATTATCCAACATCGAATAGCTAATCAATACGAGAACATCATTGGACAAATACAATTTCGTTTTCGCAAGGGTCTTGGAACCAGAGAAGCAAGTTTTTGCTTACAAATTTTACTTCAAAGATGTCTAGAACATCAAAAAGACGTTTATTTATGTTTTATTGACTTTGAAAAAGCATTTGACACAGTCAAACATGAAAAACTAATTAATCAATTAGAAAAGATTGGACTAGATGACAACGACTTGCAAATCATTAAAAATCTATACTGGAAACAAACAGCAATGCTAAAGTATGAAAACAATTTAAGCCAAGAAGTTCCAATAAAGAGAGGAGTAAGGCAAGGTTGTATTTTATCACCAGTTTTATTTAACATCTACTCCGAAGAAATTTTCAATCAAATCTCAGAAAACACTAACATCGGTATTCAAGTTAACGGACATTGGATAAACAACATCAGATATGCCGACGACACAGTTTTAATTGCCGAACATGAACAAGACCTACAGACATTACTGGATAAAGTTAATGAAGCAAGCAATTCACTTGGACTTAGAATTAACAAAACTAAAACCAAGGTCATGAAGATTAGCAAAACGCATACTAAAATCGACATTAAATTAAATGATGCAAAACTTGAACAGGTAGAAAACTATAAATATTTAGGATCAATTATTAATTCAACACTAGATCCTAATATAGAAATAAACACAAGAATCGCACAAGCGCGTCAATCTTTCGTAAAATGGAAAACACTTTTAACCAATAACAGCCTGAATATGACAATTCGTTTAAAAACATTGAAATGCTATATATGGTCAATTTTATTATACAACGTGGAAAATTGGACTTTACTTTCAACGACAATTAAAAAACTCGAAGCATTAGAAATGTGGTTCTACAGAAGAATGCTGAAAATATCATGGACAGATAAAATAACCAATGCGGAAGTGCTACAAAGATTAAACATCCAAAGAGAACTAATACCAACAATCATAAAGAGAAAATGCCAATATTTCGGTCACATCATAAGAAACAACAACAAATATAAACTTTCAACAATCGTACTGCAAGGAAAAATAGCTGGAAAAAAGAAGCCCGGTCGACAAAAAATAACATGGCTACAGAACATCAAAAATTGGACCAGTACCAGTACAGAACAACTTTTGCGAACATCCAGAAACAGAGAACAGTATAAAACATTGATCGCAAACGCCTACAGGCAGCATTAGAAGAAGAAGAATATCAAATCTAATAAATTGATAAATAAAAAGCAATTTAAAAGAAAAAAAGAAAAAAAAATCTTAAAAGAATAATTAATTGTTTTTCATCTTTTTCTTTAAAATGATTAATTTGTTTTTTCGGATCATTTTCAAATTCAATTTAATTTTGATGGATTTATTTGATAAATTTCTTTTCTTGACGTTCCAATAAATGATGATGGATATTCTAAATAAATTTTATAGTCATTTTAATAAACTATTATCTAATAAATAATCATTATTTTACTGAAGCAATTCTTCAATATTTTGACTGCAGTGGCGTTGCTAGGAATTTTGGAGTCATGGGCAATTCATCAACCGAACTATTTTGAATTACGGGCAGCTAAGGGCAACCGTTATGATTTCAAAAATATCTATGGGCAATAACTATTCAAACACTGCATAGCTCAATAAATCCATGGGCAATAACTTTTGGAGCTATGGGCAATTACCCAATGGCCCTACCCCTAGCTACGCCACTGTTTGACCATATTCAATTAAATCGAATTTACTTATTGATAAATAACAAACTTTTATTTAATAGATTTTTATTTAAACATTTCATATAATGAAAAAGATTTAATATCTAAAACGAAGTGGTTCTCTTATTTATCTTAATCCTTTCAATACAGATATTTTCTTTCGTTGTACATGAAGTCCTGTTCTTTATTCAATATAAATATAAAGTGCGGGACAAAAATTTAGAGCATTTTTTGTCCCCTACTTTAGAGAAAATAATAACAATACAAAAAAAAAATATTATATATGATGTAGTTCATAATAATCACTTAATGGCTTTGGAAGATTTTCGCCAAATAAATTCAAATAATATTCTTTTTGTTGATGATAATATTTTTGAAA